GATCTCACAACATGAATCATGACCAGAGCCAAAATCAAGAGTGGGATGCTAAACCCACTGAGCCACCCAGGCGCCCCTCCAGTTTTCATTTTTAAAAACTATTATATGCTCATGTTAAGAAAAAAGTAAATAGCACACAGTGAAGAGTAAGCCTCCCTCAGCACACTGACCATCCCCCTTCCAGGTCCCTTCCCCAGAGGAAACCACTGTTAGCATTTGTTTTGTGGGTCCTTCCCAATAGAGTCTATGCATACAAGAGGAGCTTTGATTTTTTGAAATGCGTTTTTATAGGTTCAGCTGAAGTGGTTTGTAAGATAGCTTTTCCAAATAACTCTCCATGGTAACATAACTTTGGAACATACACAACCACACACACTCACACGGATATACACACGTACACACACACACAGTCGTCCTCTACAGCAGAAAATGGAGGGGAAATGATGCAACAGCATGACTAGCAGGTATATTCCAGTAAACCGCGATGGTGAGTGGATTTTCAGATGGTTCCAGACAGCTTTTTGTACAGAAATAGCCCGGTAAGAACACCCAGCCTACTCAGACGGCAGAACAAATCCCAGGAACTTGCCTTTGTGCAACCTTCCCCTTCAAGCTCAAGTCTAAACACATCAGAGCTTGGCAGGGCTGCTCGGGTACATTGGCCGACAGACAGACACTCTAGTCCCTCAGGCTTTCTGTGCTTTTCCCTCCGAACCAGCAGATTCTTAAGGATTGGACCCCACCAGCCCATCCCCTGCCACCAACACGCAGAAGCAGAAAGCCGCTCGAGTTTTCTCTCCATCACACAGCTGGACCAAAACCCAACTCACTCCCACTCGGAAGGAAAGGAAGAAACACCAGCAGGTATAAAGAAACACGCCCATGTGTGCATGTTTGGCAGAAACAAGGAAAATCATTCTGTCTAGGAGGCCATTCTGAAGCTAGGTCACGCACAGTATCGCTCAAATCGGGAAGTGGTGTCTTTGGCTTCAGGATAGTGGTGGCTGATGGGAGCAAGACGGAGTAACATGAGAAGCTGCCGTTCTAGAGACTTTTTCATAACTGACACGGGAGTGGGGAACACCAGAGGACTTGCTCTTACCTAAGCCCCAATACAGAATAATAAAAGAGCTGTCCTAATTTTTAGCGGAGTCAGCCAATCTACAGGGAACCCGAGTAAAAATTTCTCATCAAAAGCCAACACTCTAAAATAGGAACCATATGGAAAGCAGTAGAAAAGGAACGTTTCCATCGTACAGCAGATATACCTGGGAGAGCACGTCTTAGTCCTGGTTAAGGAAAGAGAGACTTTTATGTCTGGTTTCCGGGACACTGGAACGATCAACGTTCCACGGAAATACTGCCTCACCTGCTGGCTCCTGCCTGAAAAATCCTTTCTGAGTTGAGAAAGCCTTAAAGTCCTCAACAGCGGAGAAAGCGAAAGAAGCAAAATCAGCGATCAGGATAATGCTCGTTTCCTGAACGCTTACTTACGGTAAATGCTTACATTCATACTCAGGACTTTACATGAATGATCTCCTTTAATCCCTGTGGTGGCTGGTCCCCAGGATGACCCCTCCATGACCTGGCCTCTACATACATAGACGCCCTCGTGCAGCACCCTTCCCTTGAACTTGGGCTGGCTCTGGGACGCACATATAACCAGCAGCATGGGGCGGAAGGGATACTGCGCGGTCTCCAAGCCTAGCTCGGGAGAAGCCTGCCACCTTGGTTTCTTGGAAGGGGTATTCTTGGGGAAACTCAGTTGCCAGATGAGAAATCCAATTCCCTTGAACCTGCCATGCTGGGAGAAAGCCCAAGCAAGTCACGTGGTATGGCTGGGTGGAGAGCGAGGCCAGCGATGGCCCTGGGCTAGTCCCGCCGTCTGGCACCAGGTGCCAGACACGTGAACGAAGAAGCCAGCTTCATGCCGTCGCAATGTCCTCTCCAGGCGATTTGGCCCCGACCCGGAATCTGATGACCCTAAGTGAAAATTGCCCAGAAAAGCCCACTCAATCCGCAGAACATTAGACATCATAAGAAATCGGTGCTTTAGACCACCAGGTTTCGGAAGGCTTTGTTATCCAGCCAGAGATTGCTGAGATACTTACTCTCCACGATTCTGAAAATCACAGTGAATGCTCCAACATCCATTTCACTCTTCCTCACCGTGCAATCTGGGTTCTCCTAGGGTACCCCTCATTGGACTATGCTAGTGGTTTTCAAAGTGTGATCCTGTGGCTTCAGTGTTATCTCAGAACTCATTAGAAAGGCAAATTCTGGGACATCTGGGTGGCTCAGTTGGTTAAGCCTCTGCCTTCGGCTCAGGTCATGATCTCAGGGTCCTGGGATCGAATCCTAAATCGGGCTCCCTGCTCAGTGGGAGCCTGCTTCTCCCTCTCCCTCTGGCTGCCGCTCCCCCTGCTTATGCTCTGGCTCTCTCTCTGTCAAATAAATAAGTTAAAAAAAAAAAAAAAAGGTAAATTCTCAGGCTCTTCTCTAGACCTGCAGAATCAGAAATTCAAGCACCGAGGCCCAGTTATCTGTCTAGTGATTTGTGTTTTTATGCGTCCTTCGGGTAATCCTGACATATGCGCAAGTTTGAGAACTCCCATCCGTATACCAACCCCGGTAACCCTGTCCATACCTTGCTAGTAACCGCTTTAAGGACCCAGGCCTCAGTCAAGCAGCACCTGGCATTCCCTTGGCGTCAGTCATGAATCCGTGCCCGAGGGCATGGTCCATCCTGGTGACAGTCACTCTGTGAAAGGAGCTGGCCTTAAGAGACAGCTGCCATCAAGAATGGAAGGCAGGGAGGCCAACCAAGCCTGGGTCGCTGGCAGCAGGATTCAGGCAGACCGTGTCTCCTTTGAACTTTGAATTAGGGAGGGTGGGGTGGGGAATGTCTGTCAATTTCCTTACTGCTTAGACCCATGTGAGTTGGCTTCTGGTTTCTTACACCTCCAAACACACAGAGTGTGATGATCTGTCTCTCACGTGGGAGAGGCTAGCTAATTTGCAGTATAGCTCAGACCCCTAGGAAGCAGAAAAGCTAGGGTTGGATCCTAGCAGAAAAGCTAGGATCTCTGTGTTGTCAAAGGCCACCGTCATAATGAAGCCCCGAAAGGGTGAGCTTTGCCCTCTTCCTGAGATCAGAAGCTTCTGTGCATATACTCCATGGGTTAGGGCGTCTGACAGAAGAAGGGATACCACGGAATGGGGAAAAGGTCCAGGGAGAGGAGGGAGGTTGCAAAAAAGAGAATTCCTGCTGAATTCTACTCAGGTCTGGCCTCTGCTTGGGCATTTCCTCCTGCCCCTAAATTGAATGACGTCCTTTCTCCTTTCCTTCCCCCCCAAACAGACTGTCATATTCTGTTGTTTTGCAGGGAAGATGCCGGGAGAGGGTAAGGCGATAGTGTTCCTTTGGTGAGCAGGCTGATTGGTCCAAGGAGGTCTATAAACGGCATCCACCCACAGCCCGCTACTCCAAAGACAGTTTATAATCACAAAAGGAACAATCCGGAAGATTCCAGCTGTCAACACAGCTAAAATGTAGCAGCCGCAGACCTTGCACAGGCGACACAGGCCATGACACGGATTGGGGATTTTTCTAACCTCGGGGATCCCCAGGCTCTATGCCCCCTCAGGGGACGCCAACATTTGAGGGGGGCAGGGGGCTCTTGCCTCTATTCCCCTACACTGTGGTCTCCACCGGAGGTCTCCTCCATCCACTTCTGACACACCCCGGCCTCTTCTGGAACCGACCATGAGAGTGAGGTGCCTAATTTTAACCTGTGATCTGAAGCCCAGTTGGGGGCAGTCCCAAGGTACCAGGTAGCTCCAGCTAGAGGGCCCTTTCAGGGAAAACACGAAACAAGGCTTAAGAGAAACATGACAAACAAGAAGGGGACAATTCTTTTCTCCAACTGTCATCCAGAGTTTGAAACACGGGCAGATCAGCTTTGTTAAAAGTTCTGATAAATGTTCTCCTAATTCGAAACCGCTGGCTCCGGGAAACAGCAGGCATTTCTCGAAGCCTCGGCTGGTGCGTGGCATTAACTGAGCACTGGGAAAGGACATCAGTGAGGGAACAGTCCTTCCAGGGACGCTTAGAAACGACTATAAAACAAGTCGACAACGAAGATAGAGAGGATAAGACAACAAGGCACCGCCTCCTTCCTAGGTACTATTGTGTCTAAACTAGGGTGATCCTGGTCAGGAGCCCAGGCGTAAGTCCTGTCATTATCTTCCTTGCACCGATAAGCAAACCGAGGTACTGGGCGTTTAAGTCATTTTCCCAAGGTCAAGGGATTTCAAACCGAAGCAGGCTGATTCAGGAGGCCGTGCTCCTGACCCTGATGCAGGATGCTAACAGGGAGGAGAGCAGGGAAGAATGGGGTTCACCCATACGGCCCCCTGGAGGAGGTAAGGGTTCAGAAGACTGGTGGGGATTCAGGGCCATGTTGCTGGTAAATGAGAATGAGCAAGAGGTAAACACACACACACACACACACACACACACACACACACAAACTTAGGTTCCCCTTCTTGCTAACTCATGTTGCCTTTTTCTTTTTTCTTTTTTTTTTTTTTTAAAGATTTTTATTTATTTATTTGTCAGAGAGAGAGAGCACAGGCAGACAGAGTGGCAGGCAGAGGCAGAGGGAGAAGCAGGCTCCCTGCTGAGCAGGGAGCCCGATGTGGGACTCGATCCCAGGACGCTGGGATCACGACCTGAGCCGAAGGCAGCCGCTTAACCAACTGAGCCACCTAGGCGTCCCTCATGTTGCCTTTTTCTTAAGATATATTATTTATTTGGGAGACACACACACAGCACGAGTGGGGGAGGGGCAGAGAGAGAAAGTCTTAAGCAGACTCCCTGATGAGTGTGGGGCCCGAGGCGGGGCTCGATCTCCCCACCATGAGGTCATGACCTGAGCTGAAACCGAGAGTCGGTGGCTTCCGGCCTCCCCCACCCAGGCGGCCCTGGCCCCCGTTACCTGTAATGACCGTAGGGGCAAGTCTGTTCCGTAGCTTCGGTCCTTAGGCCCGCGCCAGGCCCTGGGGGCCGGGTTTTCCCGGAGCCGTGGGTCTGGACGGAGAGCGATCCGGTCCCCAGGCTGAGCCGCCCTCTTTCAGAGACCAGGAGCCCCAGCTGAGAGCGACCCCGTGGGCCCCGCGCAGCGCGGCCAGCCTCCCCGCGGGCTCTGGCCTTCCGTGCAGCGGCTCCGCTCGTGAGCACACGCCCTGCACTCCCGACAGGCCCGGGACCCCAGGGCCACCCAGCCCAGCGTCCTTTCCCCGGCGGGCGCCGCCGAGGCCGGAGCTGGGGGCAGCGGAGGTCTTGGCGAAGGGCCCTTCCGGGTGGGGTCGGCTGGTCTGGGCCCCTGGACGGCTGACCTCTGCGCCTGCTGCGGGTCGTAGCGCCCGGTTCTGGCCCCCATGCCCGCTCACTCCCCAGAAGAGAGGCCGGTGGTGAGGGTGGGTGGCCTGGGCCCAAGGGGAGTGCCCTGGGCCCCGTGCTGAGCCTGTCCCCCCC